GTATGATTCTCTCAATTTTGTAGATAAATAAACCGTGATAATTTATTATGCTGATGTAATTGTGTTCCATGTTGATGTTACTCAGTTTATTTGTTCCTCTAGAAGACGTCCACAACTCCACATACTTCATATTTGTGCAATATCAGGGTAGAGTGAGGTTGGGTGGCAAGTGACACTTGGCTCCTCTTTGGATTCATCACTGACCATCATGAGTTAATGATCCTTAGAGATAATCGTAATTCGGAAAACTAGACTAGACAATTATTATTGATATGAATGTAAAGATATATATATGAGGATTTACAACGGTAATATTAAATGGCAGCTACACAATTTTAACTAAGGTAATATTAACCAAGGAAACTATACAATAATAAAAATATAAACAAGGTAATTAAATACTACCCCTCAAGCTCAAGGGAGTGACATGAGCTTCGATGTGATGGAGATAAAGGCAGGAATATGTAAGATTTAGTGAAGATATCGCTGAGTTGATGATTTGCTACCTAATAATAAACGCCCAATTTATTTCCACTTACGCACACTTGGATGCCTTTGTTATGCCTCCACGGTATGGCTCCACCATCCAATACCGTCCCAATACATTTGACCCCCACACTACATGTTGCATTTTTATTGGTTATCCTCATGGCCAACAAGACTACCCCATATAACCTAGATAATAATCAAGTTTTTGTTAGTGTTGTTTTTCACGAAAACATTTTTCCCTTCTAAATGAAAGTGGTATCAAATGACTATCCTCCATCCCGTGTACTTCCTTTGCCTCTACCGGATTATGACCAAGCTTCCCTTCTTGATTTCGCTCCATTACCACCTCTCAGCTTGATCCACAGTTAGCAAACCACCCTTCCTAGCCATCTCCAAATCTTTCTCCCAATAATCAACCTTGTGAGGATACTCCCACCCATGGTAGCTCGCTGCTTTCTTCTAGCAGCAACCCCACAACTATTTTCCAGCCTAATCCTTGAGCATCCCATCCAAGACGGGCTACCAAATGCCCCTGCTTAACTTCAAAACTATGCGTATAATTTGACTACCGCCACCCCATTGTATCAGCGCTTTGTGACTCTCTCCACACCACCTCGTATTCCCCTACTCACCTTACCTATATCAATAACATCATTAAACTCACTGAACCCACGTCTTTCTCTGATGCTAAACATGACCCATTATGGTGCCAAGCCATGGACGATGAAATCTGAGCCCTCGAAGACACAAGACTTGGGACTTAGTCCCACTTCGTTCGCATAAGAAAACTATTGAATTGATTGTCGTTGAGTTTATAAAATTATATATAAATTAAACCTAATAATGTCGTGATTGAACGTTACAAAGCCCGCCTCATTGCTAAGGGCTAGTCCCAATTTTGAAGGTTACGACTATACTAAGGTTTTTGACCCTGTCACCAAACTCCCCACCGTAAGGAAAATTCTTAGATAGACTCGTTGATGCTAAACATTGACCCACTCACTAATTTGATGTTCCAAATGCTTTCCTCCATGGCACCTTTCACCGTGTTAGGGGTGGGCACGGTTCGGGTGATTGAAAATTTTTTAAGAACCACCGGTTCCATTAAACGGGTAGGTTCGGTTCGAGTATATCAAATCTCGAAATAGGAACCGGAACTTACCCGCCCCGTTTAAAACGGGCCGGTTCCGTTTGAGTTCTCGGTTCTTTTTTTGTAAAAAAATCGGCTATGCTAGCAAATTAAAGTTTATAGTAAGTTATAAAATTTTCAAACTAATTAAGTATTAATGTCACCATAATAATATAATATAGTAAAAATTCCAAATAAAAATATAAAAAATAACATTTTAAATTAGTCAACAAAACTAGTATTTTCCAAATAAAAATATAAAATAACATTTTAAATTAGTCAACAAAATATCTTAATTACAACCAATCTATAAATTGAACAACACACAACCACCTAAATTGAATTTTAAATCATTATTCATAAACTAAAGAGATAGTACATAATGTCACAAAAAATTAAATTAGTTACTATACATATTTGTCTATGAATAATTTAAAGTTTATTAAATCTAACAACAATATAATTGTGAATGGGGGTTGGTGTCCTTGATTTATGTCAACACATTGTGTGCATAGGATGTTGTACATTGCTATTGAAAAGTGGAACCCTATTTTACTATTGACTTCTTTACCCTTATACATCGTCAACTTTTAACATCCCTTCAGTTCAATCTTGAATTACATTTAACATCCGTTAATATAATCTTGAATTTATACCCGCATATCTCCTTCATCACTTAAGACGTCTTAATAAGATGGTGACGTACTTATGTGAATTGGGTTGCCTCAATAATGTCGTCGTCTTTATTTCCGTCGTTTACTGGGATTAGCTTTCCAGTGGAGTTAGGTTCAGTTCAAAATTTGACTTCTGTGAATTTTCAATTGCCAAGCTTAATTACTTGGACTGATGAGGAAGAAACTCCGGAAATCACCCCTTTTAAGAGGTTTGCTGCAATATCTCTAGTTTATTATTAATTTTTTTCACATATTATAGCTTGCAGATCATTATCTTTTTAAACTTCACCCGATAATTAAGGAGTGTTTGTCCATGCTTAAAAAAGCACTTCTCATCTTTTAACTTAAGAAAAGCTAAAAAGGGTGTTTGCCAAATCCAACTTCTAATTAAAAAAAAGACACTTTAAATCCAAAAGCTAGAAGGTGGTATATACCAACTTCTAACTACTTCTAGGTATTGTTGTAATTAAAATGAACTTTAGGGATGATTATAATGCTAATGTTTTTAATCCTCAACCGACAATACCCTCCATTCTCCTCGCATAACCTCTCTCCTCCTCCCATCGTCTCCCCTTCAGACTTGTTTTCTCCGAAATGCTTATGCTTTCCAGGCAGCAAAATTGCAGCGATCAAGCGTTAGAGACCTAAGTAATGTTGTACAGTGAGATTTTTAAGGTTATAATTGTAATTTAATAAACTTTTACATTAAAAATCATTTTTTATCAAACACTCCAACTTTAACTTTTACACTTTAAGCACTTCTATTCCCAAAGACTACCTACTTTTACTACAAATCCCTTTTCCGAAAATCTCTTTAAAAAATCACTTTTGAAAAGCATAAGCAATCGCAAACACTCCCTTAATCTCAGAATTGTACTGTCTGCGCATAATAGAATGGGTTAGAGATGATATTGTGTCTTGAATACTATGAATTGTTGACAATACTAAAACAATACCAATAGGAGATCATTATACTCTTCTGACATCTTTCCTAAAGTATCAGCCTTTAGATTGTTCACTAAGTTGAAATTTACTTGAGATTATTTAGGAAAGCACCCCTTTCAATTCACAATAATATCAATTATCAAATAAGTTCCGAAATGAAATTAATCAAATTTATTACCTACATTTAACTACATTCATTTCCTTCCGAAGGGAGCATTATTGTTTATATTATTTTAGAGTAAGTCATATTTTTAACCATTACTCCATATTAGATTATCAGAAGGCCAACAGTAGTTGAGGTTAGTCATATGAGTTTATCTTGTAATGTTTGGGTTGTCCTTAATCTCATAAGAAGAAATGTGCTTTTACTTGCCTAGGTTTCAAGGGTGAGAATCATACTCTAGCTTTTATATGCCGTTTGAATAGCTAAACTTAAAACCAAAATGGTGACAAATCGTCGACTTGCATGTAGGGCTGTGCATTAACCGGGTCGGACCGTATTTTAGACCTGAACCGGACCGGAATGACCCGGTCCGGACCGGACCGGTATTTACCGGTCCGGGTTTCGGTCCTTAGTTTTTCAAGATTCCGGGTTTCCGGTCCGGTCCGGGTCAAACCCGGAAAAAACAGGTCCGGACCGGAATAGACCGGTAACCTATTGTTCCATAAAATATATACTTCGTTTTGAATCATTAGTCAATTTCTATTTGGCTTACTACTATGTTTATGGCTTATTTTTGCCTTTTGTTATATAAACGAATATATACGGAGTGTGTATTTGGTGTCTAATTATTTCCTAAGTTGTTTATAATTTTTTTATGTAGCATGTCCTAAGTTTTTTATTGATCGTACTTTATATTTGTTTGATTTTTCCAAATCGCTTTTTATTTGTTTCTTTTTTTGGAGGTGTGTATGTATTTTATATGTAGTATATTTTTGGACGTAATTTAGTTTTTATTACCCCACAATAAATTTTGCCAATTTAATACACAAAAGATTGTAGTTTTAATTATTGTGGGATACTAATTGTTACGATTGAATAGTTTTGATGACTATATTCCAAAATTAATAAATGAGCTAAACAATTATTTAGTCTATTTAGCATATCCGCATATAAAATTATAGTTTGAAACAACAACAACATCCAAGTCTTATTCCTAAAAAATTTGGGGTCAGCAAAGAACACTCTAAGATAATACTCCGTATGTCTTTTTTAAAAACCGGGTCAATTAGGGTCAAACCCGGACCGGACCGGAAAATTCAGGTCCGGACCGGTCCGGACCGGTTAGATTCAAGTCCGGTCTTCGGTCCATAGAAAATGATGAATCCGGTTCCGGTCCTAACCGGTTCCGGTCCGGTCCGGTCCGGTTTTGGACCGGTGCACACCCCTACTTGCATGAGACCAGTTTAATTGTTAACTCATTTCTCACTGGCTTAGTATAGAGATTAAAAAACAACATACGAGTATAAGGTTGTGGCCTAACTATTCTATACAATTTGCCTTTTAAGATGAAACATCAAGTGTGTCTTAATATGATGTCAAACTCATATAAGTTATCAATCCATTTGACGGTTTTGACCACGACTCAAAAAGAGCACATAGATTTCATGATCATTCTACTCCATTGACCCACAATCTTGGAGCATGTTAATTCATAACACACGGTCAAATGTAGAGATACAAACTCACAAATAATGGTTGGGACTACTCGTCCTATTTATTCGATTACTGGTTTTAAATAACAATTGAATTGGTTTATACAAAGCATTGCAGCCAAGTGTAGCAAAACCTTATGTATCAACTGAGAAAGACCTTGACTTACACCAATTGCTTGAAGAAGAGATTGATGGACCTTGTTGGATTAAGGTGTTAGAACGGTCTAATACCAACATAAGGTTCAAAGGTCATCTTAGAAACTCTAAGGTCATCATATCTTTTTCTTGATCAACAGATTTTTTTTATTTTATGTATTGTATGATTATTCATGAACCTTTTTCTGATATGTTTTCTTGTACTTTTTTTATATTACCCGCCCCTTCTTTAGAACGGTCACTTGATGTACAGAACCATAAATGTACACGAGGATATTACACCCGAAGTCCTCAAGGATTTCTATTGGGATGATGCGTTCAGGTCCAAGTGGGATGCAATGCATTTCAACTTCTAATTTCTAAATTGATTTATCTCATTGTGACTGTTATTATCACACCTTTCTTTCTTGAGAATGATCTAGTGTCCATCCTACCTATTACCTTAAGACTTATTTACGACCACAAACCATTGCCTAGCAGATAAGTTTCTTAAGCCAACATTTCTTTCTCAGGGAAAAGGTGCAAATAGGCCCATGTACTAACCCAAAAAGGTCAAATAAGCCCTTATTTAAGAGGCTCTGTCCGGCCGTCGTCATTTGGGGTGGTTCCCAGTTGAATTTTTTGATGAATTTTTTTGAGAATATTATTCATTAAGTCTAGTTTACTCATACCAAATTTCAGCTAAAACTTCAATCGGGAAGGCATTCAAATGAATTGTTGAAAATAAATGCGCAGTTAGAAGCACAGTTATCTTCAAGAATTCATTTGAATGCCTTCCCGATTGAAGTTTTAGCTGAAATTTGGTATGCGTAAACTAGACTTGATGAATAAGATGCTCAAAAGAATTCATCAAAAAATTCAACCGGGAACCATCCCAAATGACGACAGCCGGACAGAGCCTCCTAAATAAGGGCTTATTTGACCTTTTTTTGTTATTACATGGGTCTATTTGCACCTTTTCCCTTCTTTCTCATTAGTATAAGTGTAAACATAATTGGGCAAGTTTGAGATGTTCTCACACACTTTTCATAGATAATTTAAATATATAGTTAACAAACCAAAAAATTAGAATTTTATAACTTATAAGGATTATAAGTATCTCTAAAAAGGGTCAAAATAAAGTATGCAAATTGATATAAATTATCAAAGTAATAAAATTTGAGATTCAGCTGGATTCCTCAATTTAACCATTAAGCATATGAAATATAACTGATTCAACAATTTTTAAAACATACACGTTATGTCATAAACAATTTACAAGAAAATAATACTTTAGTATTGGGCAAACATGCTCACGCCTTGCACGAGTAACCGCTAATATTAAAATATAAGCAAACGTAAGATAATCAAACGAATATGTCACACTTCATTAAGTAAGAGACTTTGTTTACAAAAAAATATTAAAAAATAGTTTGATGCATTTGGAATAGAGAATTGAGGAAAATAATTTAGAAGTTTAGATGGACTTATAAATTCTTTTTAAGACTGACCAATTTATTTAGTTGAAAGTGTTTTTCTAGACACAATAACATGAATAGCTTCCGTGTGTTGTTAGTATATTATATTAAATATAATAGAATTTATTAAAATAATATTTCAAAACAATTTGTCTCGGGTACCCATTTTTTCAAATTTTAAGACCCATTCAGTTCCTAAGTTTTGAAGGACCCACCCCGCCCCGAACCGTTTGGGTTTTCAAAAATTAGGACCCGACTCTAACTTGCCCCGAACCTGTATTACCCGGTCGACCCGCGGTTCCTGTACCCGTTTGCCCACCCCTAGGTTGTGTACATGCACCTGCCCCTCGGCTACTCCCGAAAGCAGGAGACTTGTGTTATTTTTCTAGTGTTATTTTTCATGCCGTGTTTTCTCAATTCAAAGTATGTTTACTTACATTCGTGGTTCTTATCTTACTCTTTCAATTTATGGCCATCAAAGTTACCCGATCCAAAGCTGGGATTTTTTTCAATCAACACAAATAAGCTTTGGAAATTCTTAACGATATTGGACTCCTAGCTTGCAAGCCTGCTGGAACTCGATCCCATTGATCCAGATGCCCAATTCTTGCCTCAAGGAGGCGCTCCACTTCCAGATCCAACATCATACTCCAGCTAGACAATTATTATTGAGATAATTGTAATTTAGAAAACTAGACAATTATTATTGATACAAATGTAAGGGTATACGTAGGAGGATTTACAATAGTAATATTACGCCCGTTCCATCCAAAGGCTTTTGTCCACTATTCTCCGATCGACATAATTTTTTTTAATCTTTTAATTTATATATCCATCTTTTATCAAATTTGAGTTTTTCTTTTGCGACTTTATAAAACTTTCCATCCTAGACGGGCTACCAAACACCCTCTTACCTTCACGACTACGCGTACAATTTGACTACCGCCACTCCATTGTATCCGTTTTGTGACTCTCTCCACACCACCTCCTATTCCCCTACTCACCTTACCTATATCAATAACATCACTGAACTCGTTGAACCCACGTCTTTCTTCAATGCTAAACATGACCCATTATGGTGCCAAGCCATGGACGATGAAATGTGACTATGTGAGCCCTCAAAGACACAAGACTTGGGACTTAGTCCCACTTCCTTTGCATAAGAAAGTTATGGGTTGTCATTGGGTTTATAAAAAGGTAGATTCTATGGTACCTCAAATGTACCGTATCTTTGTCCACATGGACCAATAAGAATGATGCAGTTGATTTATTTAAATCTAAATTAAAAAGCATATAATGATTTGGACCAATCAAATGCATGGTAGGTACGGTACCCCATTTTTTAAATGGGTACCGGAGTTGTCACCTTATAAAAATTACATATAAACCTGATGACACGATAGAACGCTACAAAGACCGACTCATTACTATGGGCTACTCGCAATTTTGAAGGTTACGACTATATTGAGGTTTTTGACCCTATCACCAAACTCAGCACTGTAAGGACATTTCTTAAACTCACTGCTGGTAAGCATTAGCCCACCCACTAATTTCATGTTCAATTCCGATTGCTTTCCTCCATGGTACATTCACGTACGAGGTTGTGTACATGCATCTTCCTCTCGGTTAAGTTACTCCCAAAAGGAGAGACTCGTGTTCTTTTTCCAGTGTTCTCATCTGACTGTTTTACTTCTGTATGTTATGATATTATTATTACGGCCTTACGAGTGATGATCCTATATATAATTATTCCCTTAATCAAGTGATATCTCTCTCTCTCAATGTTTTCAGCTGAAAGATTTGGGCTCCCTTAAATATTTTATGTGCATCGAAGTTGCCCGATCCAAAGCTGGCATTTTTTTTCAATCAACGCAAATATGCTTTGAAAATTCTTAACGATATCGGACTCCTAACTTGCAAGCCTGCTGCAAATCCTATTGATCTAGATGACCATCTCTTGCCTCAAGGAGGCGCTCCTCTTCGAGATCCAACATCATGTTGTCGCCTCGTGGACCGGCTTCTATACCTAGACAATTAATATTGAGATAATCGTAATCTGGAAAACTATGACAATTATTATTGATGCGGATGTAAGGGTATATGTAGGAGGATTTACAATGGTAATACTACCTCCGTCCCATTCAAAGGCTCCCGCCCTTTATTCTCCGATCAACGTAAAATTTTCTTAATCTTTTACTTTATATATTCAACTTTTATCAAATTTGAGTTTTTCTTTTGCGACTTTGAAAATTTTCAATGCACTTTCTGAATATTTATACTTTATTTATTAAAAGATATAATTACGGACAAAGATTAGACTTCTATGTTTAAAAAACCGACCCGACCCGGCCGGGTTGACCCGGAACCCGGTGACCCGGACAAAAATCCGGTTCGGTTTCTTCAAAACCCGAAAATGGTCAAAAATCGGAAAAACCCGGCTGACCCGAAAAAATCCGATCCGGACCCGACCCAAGAAACCCGGAAAACCCGGGAAAACCCGGTTTTCGGTCTTTTCCAAAAAAAAAAGCAATTTCTTTTTTAATTTTAATGCATTTTTTAAACCAATAAAATTGCAGTTTCAATTCCCTAAAAAGAAAAACTATGTAATATATTTATATATTTATTTAAGAATGAAAATCATGCCAAATTATAATATAAAATGTACAATACAAATAAAAATATATATGAGAGTGTATATAATTACATGTTTATTATTATTATATACACGTATAATCGTTGACCGGTTTTCCGGCTTTGACCGGGTTGACCCTCCGGGTCCGGGTTGACCCGTGACCCAGTCACATGACCGGGTCGCTCACCGGTTCGGAGTATGTCCCATCCTATAATTGATTTTTTTTATAGTGTAAATCATTCGTTGAACCTAACACTTTTTTTTATATAAGCAAGAACTCGAGAAACTTCTTCGAACCTACATGACCTGAACTTACTTGAGTTCCACGGCGCCGGCAGTTTTGACGTTTCGTTCTTCCCACTCCCACATTTTATGAGCCGCATATTTTAGTCCTTCACGATTCTTTGGCCAATTGGACCAAACGACGTCATGGAATTGAATTTCTAACCGGACCCTTTCTAACCGCCTCTTTACCCGTATAAAATCGACTTCTTCTTTAAGCCCCCATTTCCATAAAAGAATTTTTTTCTTGTTCCCCAAGCCAGCCTTTCCAAGCTTTTAGCAAACCCAAGAGAAACCCCCTCCAATTCCTTTCATTCAGCATTCCTAATTTCTCTGGTCTGATATTTTGGCAAAGAAGATGATGATGAGCCACTGCGCGAAGAGGCTTGGCCGATCGGCCCCGCGCTATTTCTCCACGGCGATTCTCCGTCCGACGACTACTATGGCTGCCAGGGGTGCCGGGATCGGAGGAGTCCGCAGCGCCGCCGCTTTCTTCACTGGGAACCCGGCTATGGCTTCCGAGGAAGCGCTGGTGACGTGGATGAGGTTACCTGCCATGGGATCCAGAATGATGGGCACGGTGGCGCTTGGCGACAAGCAGCAAGACGATAAGAAAAACGAGCAGAGCGCCGCCGCCAGTACCAGCCCTACTGGTGGGGAAATTGTTAGTTATTGGGGCGTTCCGCCGTCGAAAATTTCCAAAGAGGATGGCACAGAATGGAAGTGGAGCTGTTTCAGGGTAAGTGAAATGCGACCTCTGTTTTCAATTATTTCGTTCTAAGTTTTGCGATCCTGCCTTTCCTGTAAGTCTGATTTGATTAATGATGATTGCGTAATGAAGCCATGGGAGACATACAAGGCCGATTTGAACATAGATCTGAAGAAGCACCATGTCCCGATTACATTCTTAGACAAATTTGCATACTGGACGGTCAAGTCTCTCAGATTTCCCACTGATATCTTCTTCCAGGTCAGATCATAAGCAAAAATATCAATTAGTTAACAATTACTTGTTTAGGAATTAATTGACAAGCAGAGACGGTTGAAATTTTTCAGAGGAGGTATGGATGTCGTGCAATGATGTTGGAGACGGTGGCTGCCGTGCCCGGCATGGTCGGAGGGCTACTGCTTCACTGCAAGTCCCTCCGGCGATTCGAGCGCAGCGGGGGCTGGATCAAAGCACTGCTGGAAGAAGCGGAGAACGAGAGGATGCATCTGATGACGTTCATGGAGGTTTCTCAGCCGCGGTGGTACGAGCGTGCTCTCGTGTTCGCCGTCCAGGGCGTCTTCTTCAACGTCTACTTCCTGACCTACGTCATGTCCCCCAAGCTGGCTCACCGCATTGTCGGGTACTTGGAGGAAGAGGCCATTCATTCATATACAGAGTTTCTCAAGGAGCTTGACAAAGGTAATATCGAGAACGTGCCTGCTCCGGCAATCGCCGTCGACTACTGGCGCCTCCCGCCGAATTCTACTCTCCGGGATGTTGTCATGGTTGTCCGGGCTGACGAGGCCCATCACCGTGATGTCAACCACTTTGCTTCTGTAAGTCTCCGATTTTACCTCTCTCTTCAAATTCGTAGCACTCGGTAAAATTGACGCCGTTATTTATCTGGTCCTGGAAAAGCCTTTCATGGTCAACACTGAATAAGTCCACTATTTCTCCACATTGTCATAATCACGCTTAAGCGATGTCTTTTTACCGTTTTTCATCACTCCTAGTTAAAAACTAGAGAGACACAAAATGAGCATTATTCATACTTGAATTTTTTTTACTACGAATGTACAATTTTTTTTAGTTACTACACAGTACACAAGCACCTAGAACTACACATATAAAGAATGGAAGGAATATATATGACTCATTTGTTTTCTTTATAATGAGTTTCATATTCAAATGGTATGGAATTAATTGAATTTCCTTCTGTAACATTCATTTCAACACGGGGTTAATGGGGTTATACTCTCCAAACCTCAAAGATAAACATGAGGGATGCTATGAAATAATGTAAAGATGACACATTTTAACATTCTTTCTAACGAGATTCGGTAGCAACATTCATCCTTGGATATTTATTACGGAGTATATATAAGCGTAAAATTATATGTATATAATGAGAGGTTATTCTATCCAAAGATAAGCATGATACCCCTATTTTTATGGAATCAACCAATCTAAAATCAAATGGCTACCATCAAGCAAATTTGAGGGTCATCTATTTCAAGATGGTATGATTAAATTAAGATTGATTTCATTTGGATTGATTTCAATATCATATCAAACTTGATTATATTTAAACATATATAAGACCAGATATGAATAAATTTGAACGAAATAGATGAGAGCATATTAGACTTGACTTGACTTATACAAATCAATCTATGCGACACTAGATTCAAGTACACTAAATTATTAAATCTCACTTACCATATTTACTACACTGTATTTAGTTTAGTTTTGGTGACTCTTCTTTTAAACCAGGTCTTTTAACTCTTAAATAATTTACTTCACACACTGAATTATAATCGAAATGAGTAAGACACTCTATTTTTTGGTGAATTTTCTTTAGTTGGTAATTTTAATTTTTCATAAACTTTTTCTTTACTTTTGGTATTAACTATTAACATATACAGATATACTCCGTACTTATTTTGATTAAAGTTATTCTTTTGAGAGCGAGCATATTTCAACTTTATCAATTGCAATTTCAATTGTGCATTTAGAATCTCCAACCAATCTTAGTTACTAAATGGGCTCTTGGTGATTATTTTATTTTGTTAGTATTTAACTCGTTGAGCGATTCTCACGCTTATTTTGCTTCTCGGCTACCTATTGTACTACGTATTTATGAAAAAGGATAATAATGTTTATAATATACGGAGTATGACCGATTTGGGGAAATGGTTGCAGGATATTCATTACCAGGGACAACAACTTAAGGATTCTCCAGCTCCTCTTGGATACCATTAAGGTGTTACTGAACTCAGGTCTGGTCATCTATGGCACTACTGATTGAGGAATCAGGAACATTTTCCCTCAAACTTTTTGTGTGGAATTTTTTGTTTTGCTTTCGGGGTTACTTTATATGGATCATACACTTCGAAATGTATACAGTTAAGGCATGAATGTGTTGTGGCTTTGTGAGTGTTAATATGTTCTATCCAATAAATTATTATCAAGTCTGTGTTACACTTGATGTTTAAAAAAGCCTTCTCATCCTCCAGGGTGATGTGGCGGTGATGTGGCGGCCCTGAGAAGGTGATTCACACACAATAGCAGTCCATATCAATGGCCTATCCGGAAGGGGCCTATCTTTCTTTTAGACGCCCCTCTGCCCTCGGGCCTAATTGTGTAGGGTCACTGGGATTTTACTCACCCCTTCTGCTAAAGTTTCACCTTATTCATCTAGTTCCAAATCAGGATCCCGCGTCCCTGTCTTACTTTGGTTCAAGGAGGGTGTTCGTTTACAGTCACCGAATTAAAAAATAACTATGGAATATGAAATCGCTTTTTCATGAATCTAGAGACACATCTTGTGATCCTGCATTCCATGATCTTCTACCTTAAGGTAGAAGTGATGGAAAAATTTGTTAAAAATTGCATTCAATTGTAATTTTGGGGCAATTTTTTGAGTGGGGTCCACTTCTGATTGGGTCGGGTCAAAGTGGTTTCGGATTGTCCGTGCTAAGGGCTACAATTCGATATATGGTACGCTAAAAACGGATAACGGACGAATGAGAAATTGATTCTTGAAGTTGGCCCGTTGGAATGGAAAAACTGGGGAAAAAGATGAGTTTCTAGTGTGTGTTATTTCCCACACCAGAAAACCCAAAGGATTTGCAACCCTTTATAAAGGGAAATCCCTCTAAAGAGTTAAGATTTCTGAAGGTAAATGCTCTCTCTCACGCGCAGGGGGGTGCAAATCAAATCCCAAAACGGAGAAGAAAATTCGCGACTTGCGAGCGCCAGCGACCTGCGGACACGAATGTCGTCCAAAAACCTATCTCTTAAGGGATACGGTTTAATTTTGTTTCTTCCCGTAACGATTTATTTTTTCCCAGAACCAGAAGTGTTTGGACAGAACCCCTTCTGCTATGTGCCAGAACTGCTCGGACAGTAGACCTAGGGGTGTTCTGTTCTGGTCGCGCACCAGAACAATTCCGGTCCGTTACAGTAGTTAATGCCCAACATTTTTATCTTTTAATGCAGTGTTAAATGGACATTTCATGGACGATTCAATACCCAATGGACTGGTCATTGATGTCCAACGTTCAGGTCCATTAATTCACCATTAACACACAACAAATCCTCATATATAATGGCTGGTAGATGGTTTGCAACAACACACGTTCATACACATTCCTCGTGTATTTGTAAGCTCCAAAATACCTCCAGCATTCCGAAAATATTCTTAGTGTTCATACTGTGTTTCCGTTCGCTGGAACTCTTGTTTGTTTGCTCAAACATTAGTTCGTAGTCATCGTATCCTGAGAAACGGTCGTTGCAACGCTCCTAGCACCGTTAGAGACGATGAATACGTTTTAAGGACATCGTGCGTAACACGAGCTTTGGCTAAGATTTGCTCCATCTAATTTCTGTTTTTCTTTCATCATTTTAATTAATTTATTTTAATTAATTTTCTTTATTTTTCGAAATACTCCCAACAAGAGGATCCAGATTCGCACGAATCATGGTTATTTGACTTATTTCTTCATTGTGTAACTATGTGTCTGTACAACCTTTCTTCATGTGTGTATGGAATCTCATGACCTTCAGGCTGCCCTCGCTCATATTTGTTCACCGTTGCTTGATCCTAGTGTTTTAAAGTTTTTAATTTATCGCTACAATCATGTCCTTCATAGAATGTGATTATTGTCGAAATTGTGATACAGACGCATTTATTAAAACGGCAAATGAATTGACAAAATACAAGACCATTCTTATTCATTGTGTTTATGATAAAGATCTTATTTTTTACTGCTACATTATTACGTAGTGTTGTGGATCCGTTTCTGTCTTGCCGGATTCGGCTCAGGTATGCCGGAGGTCGGTTTCCGACGGTCTCTTTGTGCACACCAAGGCTAAGGGAGCAACTACCCCTATTCTACCTTCCTCACTATCTAACTCAGCTTCACAGAGAGCTGGTTTATCATTTTCTTCCCACACTCTCAAAGGTCTATGGAGTGATGGATATATACAGCACATGGAAGGAAGGAAGGTGCTGCCTCTCAAAAGAAACAACCTCACATGCAAGGCAGTCAACATCCGGAAGAAGAGTTTGGCTTATTAGCTAGGAGTATGGGTTGATATGGGCTGGCAGATATGCAGGGACACTCAATCACACACATCACATTATTTGCTGAGATAATGAGTCTGGATACATTAAATCAGGGAGAAATAAACCAAGTCTGGTAACTGGAGTAAGAGTAGTTGGTTGCTAAATAGGGTGTCAACAATTATTAATATACAAAGGCTATTTGGGCCAATAATATATTAACAATCTCCACCTTTGGCCCAAGGTAGTGCACTGAGACAATTCACGGAACCGCGGACTCATCATCGCCGAATTATTACAAGTATTATCGCAAAGATTATACAAGTAATATAAGAGAATACCCCATGTATTCTCGGATCACAAAGGGGCCAACACACCAAGCTTGCCTAGTCCATAAAGGACTATACTCTACCAAATGGTCATCGAGTTCGAAGGGACACCAACACCAAACTATTAACAAACACTAGGTAAGTTAATAGTAAACCGATGCAACACAGAAAAAATTCATCCAAAATCAAAATTTAAAATCTTTTGACACGAAACAAATTTTTCAATAGGTAAATATTTAGTACCCATGTCAGCAGGATTAAATTCTGAAGGAATTTTCTCTAATTTTATAATTCCCTTTTCAACAATATCTCGAATATAATGAAATCTAACATCAATATGCTTAATCCTATCATGGAAAACAGGATTTTTACACAGTTGAATAGCAGATTGACTGTCAGAAAATATGATCACATTTTTGCCAAGAAAATTAATTTCATGCAAAAGACCTCTAAGCCATATAGCTTCTTTGAAAGCTTCTGTGGCAGCTACATACTCAGACTCAGTAGTAGATAGAGCAACAATAGGTTGAAGTTGGGATTTCCAACTTACACAAGAGCCACACAAAGTAAACACATAAGAAGTTGTAGACTTTCTATTATCTCTATCATTAGCATAATTGGAATCAACATAGCCAATTAATTTAACACCTTCAGAGCACTTAGAAAAAGTCAAACCAACATCCACAGAATATTTCAAATACCTTAAAAGCCATTTCAAAGCATTCCAATGAGACATTCCAGGATTAGACATGTATCTACTCAAACAACTAACCGCATATGCAATGTCGGGCCTAGTACTAACCATGAGATACATGACAGATCCTATAGCATTCGAATAAGGCACATTTTTCATTTCATTCATTTCAGTTTCAGTCTTGGGGGACTGATCCTTACTTAACACAAAATGAGAAGCAAGAGGCACATTCACAGATTTAGCATCAGACATAGAAAATTTACTCAAAACCTTATCAATGTATGATCTTTGATTGAACACTAGAGTAGATTTCTTTCTATCCCTGATAATGCTTATGCCTAAAATTTTCCTAGCATCGCCTAAGTCTTTCATGTCAAAGTTTTCACAAAGAGATTTTTGGACATGCTCAATAGACTTCAAACAAGGACTAACAATTAACATGTCATCCACATAGAGTAATAAAAATATAGGCGCGGAGTCAATATTTTTATAATACAAACAATGATCGGCGGAGCTCTTAGAAAATTTTAAAGATTGCATGCACTTGTCAAATTTAATATTCCATTGCCTAGGTGATTGTTTTAAACCATACAAAGCTTTTTTCAACAAACACACATGGTCAGGCAATTTAGGGTCAACAAAACCCTCAGGTTGGTGCGTATAAATATTCTTATCAAGATCACCATGCAAAAAAGCAGTAGTTACATCCATCTGTTTTAATTCCCAATTAAAATGAGCAACTAAAGCAAGTATAATTCTAATGGTGGTGAACTTGACAACAGGAGCAAAAATTTCAGCATAATCAATTCCCTTCTTTTGAGTAAATCCCCTAGCTACCAATCTAGCTTTAAACCTCACATTTTCAGATTCTTGCTTCACCTTAAATAGCCACTTACAATCCACTAAGGAACAATTAGCGGGTCTAGGAACAAGTTTCCAAGTTTGGTTAATTTTAAGGGATTCTATTTCACTATTCATAGCACTAATCCATTCTTTGGAATATTTAGACTTTAAAGCCTCTTTAAAAGTCCTAGGTTCATTGCATTCAAGGGATTCAAATATGTTAAAGGCAAACTCAGATATATCACAATTAATCAAATTGCAATCCCTATATCTTTCTGGTTTCCTAATAACCCTTCTATCTCTGTCCCTAGCAAGTTGATAGTCATGTAAATCATCATTTTCAGAAAAATCATTCTCATCATGCATATCATGCTCCACCTCATTCGAAGTACTCTCACCTTGATTTTCAAGAACATTTTCATGCAAATCATTTTTAGCAGAAAATTCAGATTGAAATTTAACAGGCACTTGCTCCACCTCATTAGGAGCATCATTATGAGGAACATGCACAGGTAAGTCAAACAAGGAAATTCATTTTCATTAAAAATGACATCTCTACTTATAACTACTTTAAACCCTGGTTCACTCCTATCCCAAAGCCTATAACCCTTTACCCCTTCTGGGTACCCTAAGAAAACACACTTCTTAGATCTAGGTTCCAATTTATCAATCTTTTGATGCACATAACCCGCACATCCAAACACTCTTAAGTTCGTCAAATCAAGCTTCTTGCCCGTGAAAACAGATTCTGGGCACTTCCCTCCTAAGGGGACAGACGGGGACCTATTAATTAAATAAGCAGCGGTATTAAGCGTTTCCCCCCAAAATTTCTTAGAGAGCCCAGATGTGGCCAACATGGCCCGCACCCTCTCTAAGAGAGATCTATTCATCCTTTCAGCAACCCCATTCTGTTGGGGTGTGTAAGGAACAGATTTATGTCTTTTTATACCCCAAGTAGCACACAAATCATTCATTTGTTTATTACAAAACTCAAGTCCATTGTCTGTCCTAAGGGCTTTAATTTTCTTTCCTGTTTGGTTTTCTATCATGATTTTCCAGTTTTTAAATTTTTCAAAAACTTCGGATTTTTGTTTCATGAGCAAAACCCAAACTTTCCTAGAATAATCATCAATAATGGAACATCTTTGCCCAGGCTTCCTCTTGCCATATTTTTCTAGCAAAAGTACAAGAGAAAAACATATGAAATAAAGTTTCAATCGACTCACGACACACTGGGCAGAAAGGTACCTCAACTATGTGTTGTTGCCATAGTCTTTCTCTGGTTGCCAAGCTCCCTGAGATAGCCCACCGTAGAAAATGTTTCATCTTAGGAGGAGCTTTTAGTTCCTAAACCCGTTGCCAGATCG